CTTCATAGCCAAGTGATTTCTTTAATCAGGGCATTAACAACCTGATTGTAAGATGGAAAAAGATCATCGATAAGAATGGAGACTATTTAATTTAATAAATTTTTGTTTTGATATATAATTTGTTCGGGTTTTTTCATCTAAAAAAAAGCGACAATACATATGAAGAAGAAGCATCTTATGTTGATTTTCCGTCGAGAAGTAAATTTTGTAAGCTTGTAATTTAATAACACCTTCTGTTTTTTTATTTTTGGAAAATTGTTGAAGACTATGCACATCTAGGAAGACTTTTTAACAATATGCTCTTGTTGATAAGTTTCTTACACTTTCGTAAACCTGTCATGATTTCTTAAACTTATGAAAACGTATTAGAAACGTTTTCACATGAAAATACTGAAAATATACTATAAAAAATTCTAGTTTGTCTAAAGTAAAATAAAGCTTTTACCACATAGATATTGTGACCAAAATATATAATGTTTGGGCTATTTAAGTATTCTTATTTGGTGCCTGAGGAATACAGTTTTGTCAAGCAACTTTTTGTTTACAAAAATCTTATAACTTTGACTTATAAAAACTTCAAGGGGCATGGAATTTGTAAATCTTTGTAAAATAATAATTCTATCTTAATCTAGTTGCTTAACACTAGGAAGTTTGGCTTGACAATGTACCTAATGACTATTAGTAAGATATTTACTTTGGTAGTTGAGCTTGGAAGGTTACAGCTATAATAAACCACTTATCTCTTCAATTTTTTTAAAATAATTGTTTTGAGGTCATGTATCCTTAAAATTTGTTAGTAGACCATCACTTCAATACCGGCTTATAAATTTGTTGTTAATTACTTTGCGAAAGTTTGTACAATAAAAATCACACTATTTTTTTTTTACTAAGCTAAAATACACTATACTAGATGACCAGATTAATAGAAACACAATCCTGGGACCATAACAAAAAATTGTGTTTTAGATTTGTACTTCCTTTTAATGTAGATTGGAACTGAAAATAAAGACTATGCTTAGTGTTACATTCAAAGTTTTATTATTTGATTATTATTAAAAACGAAACTTAGTTTGTCAAAGAAGAGTTCACATTCAGAAAATAATTTGATTTTTTAACTATCATCAGTTTTGCCCATTTAATTAATCTATTAAAGTTACTGTATTAATGCTTCTTTTTCCCAACAGGGGGACCTTTAGTGTTGTCCGCAGATGTCTCCATAGGATCACTGGTCAGCAGTTTGCTGTCAAAATTATCGACGTGGCTAAGCTGACTTCTTATCCTGGACTTAGCCCTGAAGGTGGGTGTCTACCAAATAATAATATTTTAAACATTCAAAGAATAATCATGTTTTCAATTAAACTTTTTTTAAAAAACTATTTAATTTACATTTTATTTTGCTATTTTAGATTTAATTTTCAAATAAAATAATTGTAACTTTGTGAGTTTTACTTTATAAACGAACTCTTCACACTATGAAGATTCGGGTATTAAGTTTTTTTTTATCATGTGTGGCGACAGTAGAGACGGAGAAAACCTCTTCTTTATTATTCATATTGAAAATTTTAAATCTTATATACTCAAGTAATCAGTGACTGATTAATTTGAAATCTTTAAATTTAGTTTCTTTATGTTAAACAACTGGTTTGCAAATACCATCCCTACTATCTTGTTTGCATTGTTTTTGAAGAATTGATATTAGCCATCCCTTCATTTATTTCTTTTTGAAAAGTTTTTCTTTGTACATATTCATCTTAATAATCATACTATCACAATTTAAATCTGCATTGATTGTGTCAAAATAACATCAACAGTGAAACAGTTTTTATTGTAATATCATACCACCACAGATATATTAAAGCGGGTTAATTTTAATGAAACCCTCATCCGTACTCCAAGAGTACATTTAACGTCATTACCATTACCACCAACACTTAAAGTATCAGTAACATTCAATCAGACTACAGCAAGAAACTTTAGTCTATACAAACGTGTTTACATATTTCTGTTTACTGCAGCCTTAAAATATTAGGAGGGAAATGGATAAAAACGTCTCCACTTGCTGTTCTGAGCACAAAGAGACCATTAAAACTATTTTTAAAGCTTGTCTTATAAACAAGATACTAGAGCTAGAACAGTGAAATAAGAATGTATTTCTTCTGGTTCCTGTCTTTCAGTTTTATTAGCTGAAGAACTAGGTCTACAAACGAGGAGATTCCATGGAGGCTTGCTTTATTTAAATCTATTACCTGATGGAGATAGGCTAAAGTAAGAATTATCGAAAGAAGTTTTTCGTCCTCCCCCCGTCTTACTTTTATACCAAAGCCGTGTATATCCTTTTAGCTGATGATATCCCTCAGCAAATTGATTAAATTATGCAAAAGGTTTACGTATACAGTAATTATCGAACTATAAACATATTTCACTCGTACATACATTATATCCCTTGCGCATAATAAAGAACCATACTGCACTCGGGCACCTGAGATAAATATTTAAAGCTACTCTCTTTTAGTTTCAGGAATGTAGCCGATACCCAGTAGTGAATTCGGGCTATTCTGTCTGTCGTAAGGAAAATCATAACGTCAAAGTTGATTCTAGAGTTATTCTAGACGAATCGGGAAATTACTTTTCACGGACAGGTGGTTTAACATATATGTTATGTTTTTTTAACCATGTTTCATTACATGGCTGTACATTAAAATATGTTCAATAACAACTCTTAGCATCTAGGAAGGCGTTCTTTTGCATTAGGCCTTTTAATAGTTAGGCGATTCTTGATATTTTTTCCTCTACACGTTTGTTAGGAACATGTTTCAAGGTCTGAAAATCTAGTACTTTTAAGGTCCAGTAGAAATCAAAAGAAGTTTTTCATATCAACAAGGACACACAGATTTTAAGAAAGATGTTTAGATTTTAAAACTTCTTGAAATACAATGATGTTCTTATTGAGATGATTTTAAAGAACTATTTCTTCTAGTACGATGAAAACGTTCAAATTGTAAGGTCACTTAAACGACGAAGAAACTTAAGATTTAAGGTGTAAGGACGAACTTGTTCAAATGTTAAGAACACTGCAGAGTTTTGGGTCTTGCCGAGAATATAAAATCTGCACAGTGTCAACTGTGTCAAAAAATATAAAAACTTAAGAAATGGGTATTAGGTTTTAAGGTGTGTAACTACGCAATGAAGTAGACGTACAAGTTTTTATGCTTGTTTTAATAACAGAGTTCAGTTTTAAATATCATTTATAGATCAAAACACGTATAGCTTAAGATTAATATATAACACAGATCAATACGCTCTAGTTATAGTGTCTATCATGATTTAGAGCAAGTTATAAGACCCATCATTGATAGAAACTTCGTAAATCGTAACGAATATTTCAGTTTTTGTAAGTCCATATTTTCGTGAATTATAATAATCCGGGATTATTATTATAAAGACACTCGTATTTTGAGGCAGTGTGATATGGATATAAATTTGTAATTTTTGCAGCTATGATAACACTCAGGTTTTGAAATTTTCGTACAAGAATGAGATTGATAACTTTTAAAAGTATTGTATTTGCAGGTGCACTGGCTACCTTACAGGTAATAATAGCAGGACAAAATACAGATAAGGTTATACAGAGTTTAACCTGAATTTCTGACTTGACTAAGTTTTAAAAGAATAAAAGATAGACTGATCTTAATGTAAAACATTGAAAAGTAATCTTTATTCACTAACGACACATATCAAATATGACGAGCATACGAGGCGCTGGAAAGCATTGACCTCAAACTGTATCCTTATCAGTAGGATACCCGAATAAGACTGAGAGAGTGAATTACCACATAATAATCACAATAGGGTAATCTCTTCCAGAGTGTAAACTGGTCTCTTATGTCATTGGTTCATTCCAAAAGTAATAAGCTATTCTCAAGGTATTTCTAAACCTCAGTACCATTTATGTTTTCTAATGAAATCAACTGTGCAAAGTCACACAGTTCTCAAGTGACACCTCCCGTGGGAGAATTCAGCAGTATCAAAGGAGACCGACCTCAGCCCTCGACAAATCCCGGGCGCCAGGTCGTCATGGCGACTGAAAATTTCATCGTGGCGCCTAGTATTCTTTCCCATTTTATTCGTGCGGATGCGCTAAATAGAACTCGAATCTAGAACAGGTCTGGACTCTTGGAAGTCCGTAATTATTTTCGCGTTCTTTGAGTCCGAAATCGAACTTTGTTTCTAGGATTTTAATGGTAAATTTAGCACTTCATATTTTTTTTTCTTTTTCTGGAATGAAGCACTGTGGTTGCACAACACGTTACTAATTTCGCGCCATTTTGTTTTTCTCCTTTCTCTCAATTCATCCAATCAGTGCGCGTGTTTAGACTTATACGGGACCAAAGGCAGTTAGTTCAGGCAATACTACCAAGTGGTTGTTGATATCGTGATTGTTAGCATGCACTCGTTGCTGTGAAAATAAATAAATATAGCCCCCATTTCCCAGTATAAATAGGCTAGGCACACCAAAAGGCCTTTGCTTATCGTTACAGTGTTGTAGTGATGAGTGGATTAGACCTATTCTGAAATAACCTACTTGGCCTATCGATATGTTGTGATTATTTTACTTTCATTCATTGCAAAAATCCACTTAAGTTATAGTTATTTAGTCTACTATTTTAATGATTGCACATATTGAAGTTTAGCTTTAATATATGTTATATAATAAAGTTTAATGATGAACCCTTTGTTTTTTAGTCTAAAACCGTGTGTCTTGTCCCATAACCATACAACCAACTCAAAATATATTTCTTAACTTTTCTATATCGGACCTGGCTCCTAGATCTGAAAATATTTGTTGAGGCCTGGTGTAACTATAATACCAACGGGCTTGCTACATGTATTTCAGAACTGGTCTTTTTTTTACACGTTAAATATACGCGCATAAGTATGGGAAAATGTTGAAATCTTTTAGGAACATGAAATTGCCATCTGTCTAAACTAAAAGGATAAGAAACACCCTCAAAGTTTCACACACCACAAACGCTAATGAAGACGAGGTTTTAAAGCTGTTAGTATAAAAAAGGTAAGGACAAAAAACAATTGTTGTTATTGTTATAGGAGCTAGGACATCAACCTTTTTTTCTTTCATTTTTGAATTCATCCTACTGGAGCCTTTAACTGCAGGCATAAAACTAGAAGAAATATATATAGACTCTGTAGTTTAATTCAGCGTTATTATGGAGCGAACATATCATAAACTATATTTGTTTTTTGCTTTCCTGTAATGTTATTTGTTTTGTTCATACGATGAACAAATACTAACTAGTCCCATGAATCTGATCCTCTCATAACTTTGTATTTATGGCAAAGCTACTAAGGCTATCTGCTGTCGTTCCTAATTTTGAGCCTCCTTTCCCTACCCCCAGTGGCTCAGCGGTAAGTCTATAGGCTTATGACGCTAAAAATCGGGTTTACATATCCGTATTGGGCAAAGCGAAGATCACCCGTTGTGCAGCTTTGTGCTTAACCAAACCTTGATTCTGAATTACAGACGAGAGGCAAGGCAGCCAGTCAGCAGCAACCTACCATCAACCATTCATACTAAGGGATTGACCGCCACTCTTATAATGCACCCACAGCTTAAAGTACGGGGAACATTTTCTGGATCGTACTGTACGTATTTGAAATCGGCTCACCAGCTTCGAAATTCAGAACTCTACCACAGATTCAACTTGCGCCCCTCATATATATATATATTTTCAAATACTCATGAAAGGAATAATTATACAGAGAAAATAAATTGTGAATGTGATATTAGACTGTATTAAAAACAGTAAGATAAAATTTGTTGAATAGGTGTGATACTAAACGTAGTAGTTACCAGTTTTCTTTCCTTGATGTAATGAATTGGTGCAACTTATAATTGTTTAGTTGAAAAAATATTTTTCTCTAGTATGGATTTGACGAAGGGTGATATAGACTAGCTGTCTTCCCTCTAGTCTCTCACATCAAAATTAGGGACATCTGGCGCAGATAACCCTCGATTAGCTTTGCGCGTGATTTTACAAACAAACAAACACAACTGAAGGTAAATGTTAAGTGAATTTCAATTGTAGTGCTTAAGGCTTTTTGAAATATTGAATTCTAGTAAATGTGATTGAATACTTAAAAAATCGAATGTAGTTGTCTGACATTTGCAAGTGCTTCCTGTCGTCATGTTTTCTTCAAGATTTAATCCTAAAGGATACGATATATTTTATAATTGATGATGTTACAGACACGATTATACGGAGCGTATTTTAATTGAGA